GAGGACACAGTATCAGAGTTAGAGGATAAGGTTGTCTTCAAAGACCAATTGCTCATAGATACTTGAAAAACAACAAGAAAACATCGAAATGGATCCAAAAGCTTCTATATGACACAAGGGAGACTGACAAAAGATTAATTGGAATGAATGAAACAACTGAAAGACAAGACAAATTGAATGAAGAAAAGCACAACTTTACAGAAATAATAGCAGGAAACGGTACAAATATGGGAAAATAAGTAAACATACAGATAAGTGAAGCTTGTAGAACACCAAATAGCCATGCTCAAAAAAGAACTTTATGGTCAAAACCACAAGTCAAGCAGAGAGACAGAATTTTAAATGTGTTAGAGAAAAATCAATGAGACATTTATGAGGATTATTCCACTAAAATTACAATGGACCTCTCAAAACAACACAAAGGGTTAGGAGATGTTGGAGTGAAGCATTTTAGAACTGAAAGATACCAACTTTCAAGCTTGACTTGCATATAACCTGCAAAACTTTCTTTAAAAATGGGTGGAACATAAAGTGCTCCTATGACAAAAAAAAAAAATCATGACCTCGAGAAATTTATGACCACTGAACAAGCATTATACAAATTATTAATTCCAGACAAAGTTGATTTCAACTCAAAATTGAGTAGCAGAGGCAAAAAAGTGCACTACATTTTGGCTCAAAGAGCAATTCCACTGTAAGAGATATCAATTATAAATATCATTGCAAGGGCCTGGGGATAAAGCTCAGTGGAACAGTGTCTGCCTGGCATGAATTTAATCTCCAGTACAAAAACAAAGCGCAAGCAACACAAACAAACATAAACAACATATATGTACCAAACACCAGCATGTACAGCTTCATAAAATGAACACTACTGGACATACAAAATATCAGCAAAATGCCAAAAGAATTATAAAGGAGGAGGTCAAAACAACTGTTATAAATAGATAGATCAATTAGACCCTCCCTCCAAAATAAGCAAAGAAATATCAGTTGACCTAAAGCTTTGAAAAAAATGAACTTAATAGAGATCTACAGAGTGCCCCCTGCCTTGACAGCTGAATACACATTCTTGTCATCAACACTAGACTTGTTCCAAAATACACCACATGATATCCTATAAAGCATGCTAAGTAAAAGCAAAAGAATCAAATTGATCCCATGCATATGATCAGATCATAGTGCACTGAAATTGGAAATCAATGTGAGACAAACCACAGAACTTATCCAAACACATGGAAATTAAATAATACCCTGTTTAATAATCAATGTCACAGAAGAAATCAAGGAAGACATAAGACAGTTTCTAGAATCAAATGATAATGCCAGTAAAACACACAAGAACTTATCAGACACGATGACAGCAGTCCTAAGAGGGACGTCTATACACGTGAATTCCCACATCAGAAATCAGAACAAGTCCAAATAAATAACCTAATTGTGCACCTCCAGGTCCTAGAAAAACAAGAACTATCCAAATCCAAAGTTACTACAAGGAAAGCAATTATAAAGATCAGAGCAGAAACCCATGAAATTGAGACAAAAAGACAATGAATAAATCAAACACATGCTTCTTTGAAAGAATGAACAAAGTAGACAAGTTATTAGCCAATCCTATAAAATGAAAAGGAATTTTAAAAACCACACAAATCAATGCAATAAGAAATATTAAAAAAGGAAATCATGGTGGCCTCTACCAAAATCCAATACTGAACCCAAATGCTATAAAAACCCTGAATAATTCAATATCAGGTCATGGAATTAAAGAAGTAAGAAAAAACACTACCAAAAAGAAAGCCTCAAGTCCCAATGAATCTGATATCAAATTCAACAAGGTTTTAAGGAAAGATCTACATGAATACTACTCACAAAGTTCTTTTAAAATTACTCAAAGACGTTAATAAAATAAAAAAGTAAGGCATATACCCCAGATCATTCCTTTAAGTGACCATTGCACTGATTCCAAAACCAGAAAAGCACCCAATCGTAAAAGAAGACTACAGGCGAATTCTTTTAGTGAATACAGACAAAAATATTCATAACAAGATACTGGCTAACATGATGAAACAAATTATGAAAAAGATCATACATCATGATCAAGTAAAGTTATTCATCTCAGAGATGCAAGGGATGGTTCAAACTATGCCTATCAGCAAATGTAAGACATGACACATAGGCAAGGAAAACATCACTTAATCATCTCAATTGATGCAGAGTGATCAACATCTATTCATGGTAAAAACACTAAAGAAAATGGATACAGAACAACCTAATATCAATACAATGAAAGCTGTTTATGTCAATCCAATGGGCAACATCATACAAAATAAGGAGAAACTGAAGGCTTTCCTCTAAAACCAGAAACAGGACAAAGGTGGCCACTGTCACCACTATTGCTCAACATAGTTGTTGAAATGTTAGCTGGAGAAACCAAGCAAGAGAAAGGAATAACAGGGATATGTATACAAAGGAAGGAGATAAATTAACACTATTGCAGATGACATATTCCTGTACATAGAAGACCCCTAAAATATCCATCAAAATTCTCCTACAATGGATATCCAAATTCAGTAGCACAGCAGGTTACGAAGTCAACACACAAAAATCAGTCATGTTTCTGTACTCCACAAATTAACTCATGAAAGTAAATTATGGGAACAACACCATTCATGATAACATCAAGAAAATGCAAATACTTAGGATTAACCTAATGAAGGAAGGGAAAGAAAAACCATACTACTGTGAAACAAGAGATCAAAGAGGACATCAAAAAATGGAAAGATATTGCCGGTTCCTGAATACATACAACCAATATAGTCAAAATGGGTATCATTTTCAAAAGTGATGTACAGATTTGAACAATCTTAGTCAAAATATCAATAGCATTCATCGATGAATTAGAGAAAACAATCTTAAAATCCATATGGAACCAGAAGAGACCTAGATCACCAAAACCAATCCTGGGCAACAAGAACAAGGAGAGAGGCGTGGCAGTTTCAGACTTCCAGCTGTACTACAAAGCAAGTGATAAAAACTAGAAAAACAACATAGCATTGCAAAACATAGCAACATCATAAACAGAAATAGAAACAAAAGCAAACATAAAGTAAAGAGACATGTGAATCAGTGGAACAGAACACAGCATGCAACATGCGCATTCAGATATCCAATCTTTGACAAGGGGTCCAAAAACTTATGCTAGGGGGACGATAGCTTGTTTTAAAAAATGGCACTGGGAATACTGTCTACTCATATGCAGAGGATTGAATCTATACCATATCTCATTTACTAAACTAAAGTCAAAATGAATCAAAGATGTAAATCTTAAAACACTGTCTACTGGAGAGTAAACTAGGGACAACTCTTAAGTACGCAGGCATAGGCAAGGAATTTATGAACAGAAACCCAATTGCACAAGAAATAATACACAAATTAACAAATAACATCAAATTTAAAAGCTTCTGCATAGGGACAGGGATTTAGCTCAATGGCATAAGTGCCTGCTTTGCAAGCGCGAGGTGGTGAGTTTGATCCCCTGTACCAAAAAAAAACAGAAAACAAAAACAAACCTTCTGCATTGGAAAGGAAACAACCAACAGAGTGAAAAGACAAGTTACACAATAGAAATACATTATTGTCTGGTATTCCACCAAAATGAAGATTAATATCTATAATATGTAACTAACTCAAACAACTAGACCTCTCACAATAAATGACCCAATCAAAAATATGGGCAAGTGAAATGAACTGACATTTCTAAGAGTTAGAAACACAAAGAAATAGGTAAAGAGAAAAAAAAAAGTCCAGATCTCTGGCCATTATGAAAATGCAAATTGAAACAACACTGACAGTCCATCCTACTCCAGAAACAAGGACTATCTTCAAGAAATCAGATAATAGTGAATGCTGGTGAGGAACAGAGGGAAAAGAAACCCTTCTACATTGTTGGTGGGACTGATTTAGCCCTAGAGCAATCATTATGGAAATCAGCATGGAGATTTCTCAAAATCCTAAAACAAGAAGTTCTATTTGACCCAAGGAGTCCCCTTCTAGGTACTGCTCCTAAATGTTTGAACACATCACATTGGAGTGACTCATGCGTACACATGTTTATACCAGCACAACTCACAATAACTAAACCTTGGAAGCAGCCTACGTGTCCATCCACAGATAAATGGATAAAATGTGATACCTATATACACTGGAGTACTAATGTGCCATAAAGAGGGATAAACTTAAGTCATTTGTCAGAAAGTGAATGCACCTGAAGACCATGATGTTTCATGAAATAAAGCAGGCACACAAGTTTAAATAATGGTTGCAATACTTTAGATTCTCACCAGTGATGTAGAAGAATGCCTTTTTCTTCTACAGCCTCACTAGCAATTGCTGCTCTTTTATTCTCTGATAATAGCACATTTCCCCCAAACAGACCCTAAACCCTAGCATGATGTTTCAGGGTGGTTGTAATACAAGCCCTGCACTTAGAATAAACCTCAATTAAGATTTTCAACCAGACTGATGCATTTAGCATATCTGTTGCAGCACATGGCACACATATTGAATTATACAATATTATTATTGATATATAGTTAAATATAGATAATAATATGATTGACATTAATTATTAAAACAAATGATAAATAAACTATAATTATTTATAAAACCAAGCAGCCACATTTGGACAAGAGGTAAACACCTATATTAACAGGTCAACTCAAGACTTTTGCTGAGTGACCAATCAGTACAGATGGAACACATGAATGATATATGCACTTGATAATGAATGAACGTGACTGTGTCTAATACAAATCTTCATAATTCAATATCTTGTGTGTTGGAATGGACATACTTAGTACGCTCTTGCAAAATAAAGGAATGTTTTCTGCATTTTGGTGCATGTCATTTTATGACACTTTCTGTGGACCATTATTCTGAACTGTCACCATTTTTGTTGCCACTTCTGTCTCATATGTCTTCAATTAACTCTTGATTTAAAGGAAACTTTGTGAAGCCTAGCATGCAGGACGTCGTGATGTGGATGAAGTGTTCATGGCATAAAATCACTGACAAGCGTGTTGTCAATGGGCCACAAGCAGTCTACACAGACAAGAAGTGCTCATTTAAGGAGAGGTCTCTTGCTGGACGTGAGAGACTGGAGCCAATGGTTCTACAGGAGATGGAGTCACAAGAAATTCAGACCAGTATTCGGGATTTGGAGATTTATGAAAGTGGTCCAGAAGAAGATGATGTGACTATATTTGAATAATATAGGTTGCTGTACATGATGAATAAATGTAGATTGCTGTAAATGAAAAAATAAGACATCCCATGAAAAGGAGCTCTATTGTGTCTTTTGGAGCAAAAATTAATGTAAGACCAACTTTTATTTTTTGAGAAATATGGTAGCTATTTGATCTGGAGAAAGCTGGAAGCTCAGTGTTGTTTTAACTTGCCTTTCTCTAAGGGCCAACGATGCTGAACATTTTCCCCGGTATTTAATGGCCATTTGTTCTTCTTCATCTGAGAAGTGTCTGTTCATTTAAGATGCACATTTTTGATTGGTTCTTTAAATTTGGACAGCTGAAATGCTGAGTTCTTTCTATATTCTATATTAGTCCACTGTCTGCGGAAGTGCTCTATTGGTTGTGTCCTTTGCTGTGCAGATATTTTTAACTTTATATGACCACATTTGTTGATACTTGGTGTTATTTTTCACTCAACTGTACTTCTGTTCAAAAAAATCCTTGCTTTTGCATCTGTGCTTGAGCGTCTTACCTAATTTACCATCTGGAAGATTAAGGGTTTCTGTTTTAATGTTAAGAATTTCTGGTTTTAATACTGATCTTTATTATCTTTCTTGTAGCAGTATTGGATTTGGATTGTTATTGCTCCTGTAAGACCTTGTGTTGAATCCTTAGGTTTTGTATTTCTGCTTACTGCTTTCATAGATTCTGGTATTTTGTACTGATATTATTGTTTGCTTCTAGGAACTGTGTTATGTCTTCCTTGATTTCTTCTGTGACTCATTGATTGTTCAAGAGTGTGCTGCTTAATTTCCATATGATTGTATAATTTCTGTGGCTTCTTCTGCCATCAAATTCTAGTTTCTTTGTCCTGTGATCTGATAACATGCCTGGCATAATTTTGACTCCTTTGCATTTATTTAAGTATAACTTATCACCATCATGTGGTTTAGTTTGGAAAAATTTCATGCACTGCTGAGAATGAATATTTTTTTATTTTGGGTGGAACACTTTGTAAAGGTCTAGTATGTGCACTGGCTTGAAGGTTGGGCTCATTTCTGATATTCCTCTGCTTGTTTTTTGTCTACTAGATCTATCTGTTTGTGACAGTGGGGATCTGATGTGTCCCACTATAATTTTGTTGATGTTCATCTGAGTTTTTATGTCCAAGAGGGTTTATGAAGTTGAGTGCAGTGTTGTTTGGTGCATTTACATTTATAATTGTTATCACTTCCTGTAAAATTGTTCCCTTAATCAATATGTAGCTGTCATCTTTACCTCTTCTGATCAGTTTTGGGTTAAAGTCTACTTTGTGTGAAAATAGGATCAGTATCCTTGCCTGTTTACAGATTCCCCTGCATGGAATATCATTTGCCTCTCTATGAGGTTTTTTTTCAGTCCAGAAGGTTTTTGGGGGGATTAAATGTTTTTGCTTATATACATCATAACAATGAATATGTTTCTTGATACATTCTTCCAATCTTTGTCTTTTGACCGGGGAAGTAACACCATTTCCATTGAGAGTTATTACTGAAATTATTGACTTATTCTTTTAACTACATTATTTTCCCATTGCTGATTACTTTTCTTTATTTTCTACTTACCTACTCACCATACCTAATGTATTCACTCTATTAGACATTTTGGTGTTGTTTACTTCAATGTCTCTTTCTAGGATATTTTTGAGAATTTATAGTGCTGATTTGGAGTCACAAATTTCTTTAGGTGCTCTATATTTTGGTAGTATCTTGGTTTCCATCAATTTCAAAAGATAGTTTTCTAGGATATATCATTTGCAATTTGAAATTTGTTTTCTATGGTTTTATACACTTTACTCGCAGCTTTCTGGCCTTTCATGTTTGTGCTGAGAAGTTTACTATAATTCGAATGATTTTTATAAGAAATTCATTGTTTGTTTTTTTTTCTAACAGCTGTTAAGAGTTTTGTCCTTGTCCTGCACTTCTTGGATTTTGATGACATGTTATGAATCAGTGGTTTTCTGATAGTGGATATTGGGGGTTTTATATGCTTAACATATCTGCATGTGAAATTCTTTTGCCATGCTTGCAACATTTTCTGCCATAATTTCTGTAAACATGGGGGTTTTATGCCATTGTGTTGTCTTCTGATTTTCAGCAATTCCAACTAGTCTAAGAAACTAGTCTAAGATTAGACTTTTTGTGCCATCAAGTAGCTATTCTATCCATTTTTTGATATCTTGTATTTCAGCCATCTCTCCATAAGTAGTCCATATAAACAGCTCTATCTTCTAGTTCTGATATCTGCGCTCACACTGGTTGTTTCACGTGCTCGTACTTTCAGTAGAATTTTTAAGCTCCTGAATTTTTATTTGGTGCCTTTTCTAGGATTCTAATTCTTTGCTAAATTGGACATTTATGTCTTGTTTCACTTTGTTCAATTCAGTTAGCTTTTCATTAGTGTTTGCTGTAGCCCTTTTGCACATTTTGCTTACTGGATTCGCTGTCTGTTTAGCTATGACTTTTTGATTTTGGCAAACACATTACTAATCTGGGATTTTTAAAAGTTATCTTTCTTATCCCTTTGCATAATTCAGTTTTGTGGCTTTTGATTTCCTTCCTTTTCATGCTGCATGGATCAGCATTGATGCGTGTACCTGGGAGTTTGGGGGGTTGTTTTATTGCCTTGTCCTGTCTTACTTATTTTCTTTGTCATCTGTTTTTCTTTGTGAGTGTGTGTGTGTGTGTCTGTGTGTGTATGCAAGTGTGTGTATGTGAACACCGGGGCTATGAGCTTGACTCTAATGGAAGTCTTTTGTTAGAAAGAAAACCTCTTTAGTTAATGTCCAGTGTTTAGCAGTGTATTCTGCCTGTGGTTAACTATAGTTCTTTGACTCTTTCCCAGAATCCAGCCACCCATTTTTACATGACAAGGGAGGTTGCAGCACATTTGATTCAGTATCCAGTTTACCAGGAGTGAGTGGCAGTATTGTGAAAGACTCAAAGGCAATGCACACATTGGCATATGGAGAAAAAATATTAGTAGCAATAAGTATGTCAGCTTAAATACAGTAATGAAACCAGCAACACAAATATAATGAAAAGGTAACTGGATATTGACATACCTAGAAGGAATAATGTGTTACCTTTAACCATAGAAAAGAGGTTTATAATTATAGCTTGAATGCTAAGATAAATAAAATATTGACCTGCAGTATATTTTTACTTATTGGAATAACTTTCCACCAATAAAAATTAAATGGGATGCACAGGCACAGCATAGTTATGTATTTAAAGAGTCATAAAGCTTAGTGATTATACTAGTACAGTTAGATGGGGTTAGGGAATTGGAAAATAAGAAAAATAAAATTTTAAAAATTAATGATTGGAAAAATAGAAAAGAGAATATTGAGATAAAAGATGTTATTGAGCAATAAACAGAAATTAGTAATATTACGTACCAGTAAACAAAAGGAATAAGGAAATGCAACAATAAAAGAATAAAAGGGAGAAAAATAAGGATAAAAAGGAAAAATGTTCAAAAGGAGAAGATAAAAGAAAAAGAGGGGGAAAATGCAAATTCCCAAAAATTCATTAAGGGAAGACAACTTAGAGAGACAGACAGAGAGAGACGAGAGAGAGAGAGAGAGAGAGAGAGAGAGACAGAGAGACAGAGAGACAGAGACAGAGAGACAGAGACAGAATCAGAGAGAGAAAATTGAGCAAAAAAATGAATTTTTGAGGGTTTTTTGGGTGTGTCATTTTTGAGACAGGGTTTCACAGTGCAATTCAGGCTGACTTTAAACTCACTTTGTAGCCTAGAATAGCCTGGAGATCACAATGAGCCTTCTGCCTCAGTCTCCCCCAGTGGTGTGATTACAGGCATGTACCACCATGCCTGGCTCCTAAGTGTTTTTGAATAAATAGTCTATTTCCAGGATCTTTAGTCTTGAAATTCAGAAACTCACAATGTCCTCTACCTATCTTTAAGGCCTGTGAATATGTAAGGTGTCCTCCATACTTCAGAGAATCTTTCGTTCCTTCACTCCCGACTGTGACAGTCATCCATTCTGAGACATATCTTTGCCCACTTTGGTAGATGGGAAAACAATCAGCCTTTTGGTCTCAGCTGGATTTAGATCATAGCATAATGGTTCAATGGGCCAATGCTTTTAGATGCAGTCTCCTCTGAAAGTCACAGTTGGCAGGTCTGGTTTCAAACCAAGGAGGGCATAGTCTATGTCCCTGGCCTGAGTTTAAATTCTTGGGAGGGACTATGTCCATCTCACACCCTCTCTGTGACTGTCTCTCACCTAGTCACTATTGGAGGCTAACACTGGAAACCGTGAAGTAAATTTGTTCTGTTCTTGATCTGTGGCACAGTTTTAAACAACCCCTTCCCATAATGGAGCTTGACTAAACTTCCTGTCAGTATGAAACCCCACTCCACTGGGTCTCTTTTCTAACTCCAGTGTGCCATGAAGTAGTAAAACCTTACCCTGTTTTTGTAGTTTACAGCAATTGTTTCCCTTGCTAGCATGGCAGCTCAGGTCCGTATTTTCTCTCCACGTCTGCTGATCCTCCCAGTTTACATTCCCTCCCAGGGCAGCGGCTCCTTCTATGATCAGGTCAGCCAGTTTATTTGGTGCCTTTGTTGCCCCAGACCAAGAAAAAACAAAAGATAGAACCAATCAAAAGCTCCTAGATGTCCAAAGCCCGCGCACAGAATCCACAGGTGCAAAGTTGATCATGCAGCAATATGCACAGTTGTTGTGTCATCCTGCATCAAGGCCCAGCTGCACATAACTGGAGGACCTCAGCAGGCCAGTCAGAATGTGGTGATCTTCCATCAAAACACAGGACTTCAGTCAGTCAACAGGAGCTTCAGCAAACCCTCGCACAACCCAGAGAATCTTGGGAGCTGTTGAGACCACAGGTGAGTCTTTCCATATAGAGAACCCCAGGAGGGTTGACAAGAGTTTCAGCAAGGCCTCATCTCATCCAGAGGAACTTGACTGGGGCTGCTAGACATCCAGTGGCACAGT